CTCTTTCTCTCTGTCTCTCTCTGTCTCCATCTCTGTTTCTCTGTTTCTCTCTCTGTCTCTGTAACTCTCTATGTCTTTCTCTGTCTCTGTCTCTCTGTTTCTCTCTGTCTCTGTGTCTCTCTGTCTATCTCTGTCTCTCTCTGTTTCTCTGTCTCTGTCTTTGTCTTTGTCTCTGTCTCTCTGTTTTTCTGTCTCTGTCTCTTTCTCTCTGTCTCCTGTGTCTCTCTCTGTCTCTGTCTGTCTGTCTCTGTGTCTCTGTTTCTCTCTCTCTCTCTCTCTCTCTCTCTGTCTCTCTCTCTCTCTCTGTCTCTCTCTCTCAGTTTCTCTATCTCTTTCTGTCTCTGTCTGTCTGTCTCTCCCCTCCCCCCATCGCCTTTGGTGTCTTCCACTTCCATGAATTATCGCCCCTTTGCCATGTGCCAGCCTGATTTAGGGGCAGCCTGTCTTGGGCTAAAACCTCTACAAACTGTGAGCGAAATAACTTCGGGTGTCAGATATTTTGTCTCAGCAAAAGAGAGAAAACTAAGACACCTTCTGAGTGACCGCATGCAAATACTCCCTTCTCTTTCAGATATCGAGAGCAAAGTTATCAATGAAGAATGCAATAAAGAGAATGCATCCTTTCTCTTGAAAGCCAAAGGGGATGCAATGAACATCGGGTGCTCCACCATTGAAGAATCTGAAAGCACAGGTAGGTAGAGGCGTACTCCTGAGAGCCCACGTGAACGGTGCCTTCCACCAGGGGGTATTTGTGGTCACCCCCAGGGCATCAGGACCATCCAGGTGGTCGGCAGCCAGGGATGGTGGGGCAGAAATGGCCAGTGTCCTTAGGGAGTTTTCTGTCTGCAAAGGAAGTCAAGTTTTACAAACATAATGTCACCCAATGGGAGTATTGGGACCCTCCCTGCCCAATATGGTAGCCACTGACCACACTGAACTACTGGACACTGGAAATGTGACCAAACTGGACTGAATGGAGTTCAGTGGGCCATGAACACTGTGGACTTGTATCAAAAAGCGAACAAACACAGTACTCATAAATTTTACACTTAAATTGATTTAAAACAAAATATAATAAAATATATTTCAAACCTCATTTTTTTCTTATTTAAAAGTGACAGGCACTTCATGATATTCTGAAGTATATATGCTTTGTGGGACAGCTAAATCTAGACAGTTTACGTACAAGATGAGGTCTAAACATATGATGGATATCTATATTAAAAATTATCACAATAGAAGACCTTTTCTTCTTTTCTTTCTCTTTCTTTCTTTCTTTCTTTCTTTCTTTCTTTCTTTCTTTCTTTCTTTCCTTCCTTCCTTCCTTCCTTCCTTCCTTCCTTCCTTCCTTCCTTCCTTCCTTCCTTCCTTTCTTCCTTCCTTCCAGACTCAGCACCTTGCGCTTGCTAGGCAGGCACTTACGCCTGCTGAGCTATCTCCCCGGCCCTAGTTTTATATTTTAAAAAATTTAGATTTCCATTTTGACATGACATTTTGTGGCTGTCAACTTAATATATTATTAAAACTATTTTTCCTGTTTTTTTTCACTTTTAAAATGTGGCCACTGAAAAATTTAAAATTATATATGTGGCTTACACTATATTTCAAATGAACAACCCTCGCCTATAGCAGGGTTGGCATACTTTTTCCCTAGAAGGCCAGCAGGTAAATATTTTACGCACTCTGTACAATACAGCCCAGTTTTCTGTCCTTTCTCCACAACTCATTCTCTCAGGAATAGTTCAGTGTAACGGCACAGGATGAAATGTGGTAAGAGATACTTAAACGAAATCCTGCAGAATATGCAGAGAAAGAAGAAGGAGATATCTTAGGTAGTACAAGGGACAGGTCTTCATAGAGAGAAAAAACTAGTGGCTGAGTGTGGGTGGCGCAGGCCTCTGATCTCTGCACTCAGGAGGCTGAGGCAATTGCTAGTTTGAGACCAGCCTGGGCTACAAAGTGAGCTCAGGGTCAGTCCGAACTGTGTGGTGAGACCCTGTCTCAAGAAACAATAAAAATCTAGGCTTATTCATGGATCTAAAAAGTGGGGTGGGGACAGAGTGGCAGAAATGTTGGGGGGTGAGAAAGGAGGTAGAGGGCATTTGATGTGAATCTGTCAGTCCGCGCGTTCCCCCAAGGCGCAGGCAGCCCTGCAGCGCTCCGTGGAGCTAGGCTTCTGGCCGCAGTGTAACAGAGATGCAGAGGGCGGGGTGAGGGGAGACTGGGGAGCAGCAGCCGGCACCCAGCGCGAGACATCAGGTTGGATTTCAGGCCCCTGAAGGGAGAAGTGGAGGAGACCCTCAGGGCGCATGAAGGAGGCAGGATCTGTTCAGGATGAAGGAGAAACAAGGAGAACTCTCCCAAGTTCCAAGTTAGGAGATCTCGACTGATGAAAGAAAGGAGCACAACTAAGAGACGGAAAGTCTTCGGCGTGTGTGGTGTCTCTGGGGGCATCTGAGAGGTCCTGCTGTTGGCCTGGGGGTGGCCCGTGGGGATGGGCTGGGCCGGAGGAGGGGCCAGGCAGCAGCTCCAGGAGGCCTCCCTGGCGATCACCAGTGTCTTGAAGGACAGCCCCGGCCCACAAGAGAGACCAAACAGGGACAAGCTCCAAGTGCGAGGAGAACTTAGCCCCACCACTGACTGCATTGCCTCTTAGAAGCAAAAATTCTAATTTATGCTTAAATGTAGGTCAAATTTCTCAAGATAATAGCTACTCAGAGTTTCTTTGTAAGAGAAGAAAAGAAACTCAGGGTTCCTGAGGAGGTCTCCGAATCAGTTCACTGCTAATTCAGCCCTCAGGGTGAGCCTCTTTCCGTGCCTGGTGTATTCAAGAGTGTCTCCAACCATTCATTCGCTGATGATCCCCATTTTTTTTCTCATTGAGACAGGGACCACCGGAGTGGCTTTTGTCTCCTTTGCAAACATGGACTCTGTCTTAGATGAACGCTTCTTCAAAGACCCTCAGGCCCGCGGGGACACTATAGAGAGGAAACTGAGAATGAATTCTCGAGTGGTTGGTGGCATCATGACCGGGGAGAGAAAAGAAAACTTCACAAAACCTATTATTTACACCCTGGAAAACACCCAGGTTTGTAAAGAGCTCTATACCCGAGTCCAGTCTACCTACTAAGAAATTCCCATTTTCCCAGTGGCTGCTGCTCTCATTTTTTCCTAAATTAAACTTTTTATCTTCAAATAAGCATAGGTTCAGCAAGAAGCAATGGTGGCAAGAAATCTCACTTGCCTTTGCTAATGTCTTAAAAGGTTACAGCTTATAAAATTATAGTAAAATATTGCAACCGAGATCTTGACAACAGGGCAGCTGAGATACAGTGCCTGTCCATTAATGTAATAGTCTCTCTCTTTGGGTCTCTTAAAATGTTTTAAAATTAATTTTAAAATGACACACAAAGTCATAATTGCATAACTTAGTAGGGTAGCATGTGGTACTATTTGATACATATATACTTGACATGATGTTTGAAGCAGGTTTTAAAGTTTTTAACTCAGCCCCCCACCCCGGGGCGCACTGAGACTGGGCGTGGTGGCATGCCCCTGTAACCCCAGCGCTTGGGAGGCTGAAAACAGGAGGGTTACTATGAGTCCAAGACCCCATAGACCCTGTACTAGATACATAAAAAATTAAAATTTTAACTGACACAATATAGTTGTACATGTTTATAGGGCATGGTATGATAATTTGATAATGTATGCAATGTGTAATGATCCAATGACAGTGAATATAATTAGTATGCACACCTCCTGCAAAATGTATCATTGCTGTGTTCAAAAACTTCTGGATCTTCCATTTATTTTCCAGTATGGAATAAGCTGTTGTGGACTTACCGTTCTTGTTTCATAGGAGCCACTACAGCAGGCTACTTCTACAATTTCTGGCACCTCAAGCCACTTCCCCAAAGCTATCTAGAGAAGAATGAGCTCTTTTATCTCTCTGTAGTGCTACTACCTTCAGCAGTGGGTCATATTTAGGCAAGATGAAAGCAGATCATTTGCACACCGTTATTTCATGTCTCCACATTTACTTAAGCATATCTTATGGGCTTAATAGTCATAGTTATTTGGAGTTCTATATGCTTCATTTTTTTGTGTGTCAAATTCTTTATCCATGTTTGGGAAGTTTTCTGCCATTATTTCTGTGAAGAGGTTTTTCATGGCTTTTGCATAGTTCTCCAGCTTTCTTCCTGACTCCAATCAATTTATGTTATTCTTTCATTCATCTCATAGCTGTGGGATTGATTTTCCATGCTCTCTTGCTATTTTTAACATTTGTTTCTTTTCACAGTTGCTAGCCAAAATTCTGTCTTCTACATCTGATTTCTATCCTTGCTTTCATTCAATCCATTGCACATACTTTCAATGGAGATTTTAATCTCCTGGATTTCTGTTTTGATCTGTTTCATGGATTCCATTTCTTTCCTATTTTGAGGATTTATAGTTTCCATCATTTTTCAGAGCTCCTCTATTTACATATTTGTCTATCTGGTGTAGAGTCTTGGGCCAACAAGATAGCTCAGGAGACTACACACCTGCTTAGGCAAGCACAGAAACTGGGATTTGATCCCTGGCACCACATGCTGTGCCAGCCCCGTCCCAGGTATGCTGAGCTAGCCACTGAGACTGGGCGTGGTGGTCCGCACCTATAATCCCAGTGCTGGGGGCTGAAAACAGGAAGATATCTATGAGTCTGAGCTGTGTAGCAAGACTCTGTACCAAAAACATAAATAAAATAAAATAATAAAAATAGTCTTTTATTTTGATCATCATTTCTTTGTGTGCCTTGAAGATTATTTTTTCTATAGCATCTTCTTCTTTTTTCTTTTTTGAGACAGGGTCTCACTGTATAGTTCAGGCTGGTGTCACACTCACCGCAGTCCTCTTGCCGCAGCCTCCCCAGTGCTGGGATGACAGTTGAGTGGCTCCACTCCTGGTCTGCCTTTGCACTCCTCTTGCTGTCCTTTCAGAAAGTTCCAGGGGTTGGCTTCTGAACTCCTCTATCTCATTGTGCTCTGGACTTTTACTGGGTCAGCTATTGCTATGAGGTTGCATTTTGCTTCTATGTCTTGCCATTTTCTATTTTTACTTTATTTTGTTTTCTCTGTTGATGCTTATAGATTTCTTCTGGCAGACCACTTTTTCCTTAGTTTGAGGTTGACCTCGGAAATATCTGTTCCTCAGGAATGTCTTCTAGATGTAGGTGGTTTTGGTGTTTTTTGTTTTGTTTTGTTTGGCTGAACTGGGGATTGAACTCAGGCCATTGTGCTTATTCTACTGAACCATCTCCCCAGCCCCCTAGTTTTAGTTTTGTACCTTCTCAAGAACCTGCCTTTCAGTACACTGAAGATAACAAGTTGCTGTCTATTTAGCTCAAAGCTAAGGCCTTTGGTATTGGACTACGGTGATGATTATGACTCCATAAAATCACAGTGTTGTCATACAAGGGAAAAAACTGATTATAACAGGTATGACACCATAGCTGAAGTACTACAGTTAACAATAACAATAGTTTCAACATAGCCTGGCTATTAACTATCTGTAGTAACTATTTTTAAAAAGTCTTTTCTTTATTTATTCAGTGCAGGGTCTCACTACGCAGCTCAGACTTGTAGTGATCCCCCTGTCTCAGCCTCCCCAATGCTGGCATTATAGGTGTGCATCACCACACCCGGTCTCAGTGGCCAGCACAGTGCACCTGGGGACCGGGGCCTGCACAGCATGTGGTACCAGGGATCAAACCCAGCTCCTTGCGTTTGCCAGGCAGGTGCTTAGACCACCAAGCTATCTCTCCAGCACTCTGTAGTAACTATTAACCAGATAGCTTTAATCATAGGAGCAAATTTCACAGTTCTAGTGCAGTGGCGAACAGAAACACAGAAAGGGCACCCAGGATTTGGAGACAGGTTGACTTACATAGATAGGCACTGATTGGGATCAATCCCAGATTATGCCCCAATCTGTGATGGTCAAGGGCTTTTATATAATGTACAAGCAAGAGGTAGAAAGGATGTACAAAGGCAAGACAGACCAGCCCGTCAGTTCTTCTGATTATCTAGCAGGGTGAGGCCATTAGCTACAAGAGGAGATTAGTGATCATCAGTGTGTAAAGCTTGGTACAATGGTGCAGTCAGGCATTCTGCATGTTCGGTTACCCTCCCATGGTCACAGGGCCAAGCAAGTAACTACAAAGTCATAAAGCAGGTGCAGACCTAGGCAGTTTCAAAAAAGCAAAGTTTTTAAGAGCTCCTGTACAGATTGCACTTTCATTATAACAAAATCCAGAATTTACCAAATACTTGTATGCAAAGATTTTCCCCCAAGTGGAGTGACTTTTACCCTATTATGGGGTGCTGCTCCTATTAGGAGGAAAAGGGGACAAGATAGAGAGGTGAGTGGGGTCAAACATAGTCGGAGAAAGGACAGTCACACAGGTTCTGAGAAACTGGATGACACAGGAGGGGAAGAAAGGAAGAGAAAGCAAAAGCACATTGATTGAACTGACCCAAGAGAAGAGATAATGTTTACTCACCTGAAAGTATTGTGAAATCAAGCGAGAGAGTTGAGAAGAGAGAGAAAGAAGCTGAGTAGAAGAAATGAAAAGAAAGGAAGCAAATCAAAGTCATGAAAAAAGGATCAAAGAAAAAAGGGGGGAAGAGAAGGGAAACAAACAAGCAAACAAACAAACAAAAAAACCCACAAAAAGAACCCTGCGGGGAGGGCAGGGAGATAGCTCAGTGGAATAAGTGCTTGCTTGGAAAGTGTGAGATCTTGAGTTCGATCCCTGGTACCACCAAAAAAAAAGAACCCTGGGGTGGGGGTGAAACAAAAAAGCAAGATAGAGAAAGGAAAACTGATCAAACAAATGGAGGAAAGTAAAGGTAGTGCAATTGCTCTGATATCCACAGTTCTGTTGCAGGTCCAACTCAGATCCGAGAAACGTGTTGTGAATTCCAGCCTAGTTTCCAGGGGCTTTTGCACTGGCTGTGGGGCCCATCTCGGCCAATGGGTATCGAGGCTAGGACTGCTCTTCTGAGGCCAGAGTTCTCCCTGAGCCCTTGATGAAAGACTGTGGCCGCGCCGGCCCATGTCTATGTGGCTCACCTAGCTTCCCACTGCCGGCCTATATTCTTGCCGCTGCTCCAGCCTTTTCTGGTGTGCTGGTCCTGCCTGCCCATCACCTGCACTCCTGCTGGGGCCCGACTGGTTGGTTGTTGGTCCTGCCTGGGCCAGCAATATTGGTTTTTAAAAAAAATACTATTTCCCTAACTCTTGAATTATTTTTTCCAAATATATTTTACTTTTCTGACAATTCTTGTGCGTACATATACCCTGACAGGATGTTCTAGAAAAATCCCCCACTGGTCTATCAGTGTTTAGGTTTAATTCTGTGCTCTGGCATGCAAAATAATATGTTCATCTCCTTCCACGCTCTCCAGGCACCACGGGTAACTGAAGTCCTGGAAATGCATTCTTGTCCTTTTGGCCTCGGGCATGTACATGTTCTTTCAGCTTGGAATGCCCTGCCATTGCGCCGCTGTGTCACTCCAATGCCCCTTTTATACCTCAGATGACACTGGTTCAGGAACACCTTGCATGCTTGTCTAGAACACGAGATAAAGGTCACTCCTATTACATGCCCTGAAGTCATACTGTTATTTTTATTCTTGTTAAAAATGTCTGTGCTTTCTTGCGTTCCTGTTTCTCCTCAGTGCGCTGTCGTCCCACCGGGGGATTGGGCTGGGCCTGTCTGTTCTGTCTGGTGGTGTCTTCTGTGTACAGCACCAAGGAAATTCCCAGTAAAAATCACAGTGAATGGCTGAGTGACTAATGGAATAACCGCGTGGCCCGCTTCAGCCCAGCTTTGATCGAAGGAGGAGTTTTCTTGTGGCTCTCACAGTGTGGGCAGGACGTCCCTGCACGTGGGAACAGGACTCTGCCTTTCTGTTCTGTATCTCTGGGCCCCAGTGGCTCTTGAGGCTGATCACAGGGAACCCATTAGAGAGAAATTCTCAGGCCACTTGCTTCTCTGATTTTTTCAGCCAAAGCGCAAGCTCGAGAAGGCCATCTGTGTTTCCTGGAACACAGACATTGAGGATGGGAGGTGGACGCCATTTGGCTGCGAGACCCTTGAAGCATCGGAAACGCACACAACCTGCAGCTGTAACCGGGTGGCAAACATGGCCGTCATCATGGCCTCCGGGGAGCTCACGGTCAGTGCTAATGACCTTGTCTCTGGGTTCCTGAGTAGATCCTAAAATCTGGTGGGAATTTACCATGGAGCCTCAGTTCATGAACTAATTTGTTCTGAGATTCTGAAAATGATGTCACATTTGTGTTCATGTGAGAAAGATGGCCAGTCATGTCAGTCACTTGGCGTAGAGTTTACAGACCCAAACTAACTTTTGACAAATGCCTGTCTGTGAACCAAGATGCTGCCAGACAAAAGAGTTCACGAGCTGTTCCTTTGTGGTGTTGGCTGTTGTAGGAAGTAGTGGTGAGGTTAGTGGGCTTCTGTCCTTTAGGAGCTCATGATCTTGTAGGGAAGGCAAGGAAGCAAGTATAAAATCGGAAATACACAATAAGATGAATAAGTCTTATTTCAGAAACACCTGTTGTGCACTGGACTATGTTTTAAGTCCATTATTTTCAGAAACATTTTACAGAATGTGAGACTGAGGCTTAGTACCCTACATAGTAGTCACTGAAGGATAGGATTTCTGCAGTTTCACCAGAACTACAAAGAACTACGAATAGTGTTTCTTACAATATTCTACACTGCAGTCAGTGATTTTATTGCATGAATTCTTCACCCAAGTCATGACCTCTTACATGCTGGGTTTCAAAAAGTTTCCATGAAATCAAATGTTCGGACATTGTCTTAGTTACTCTTCTCTCATTGCTGGGACAAATACCCAATGCCCAAGATGAAGGAAGGAAAGGTTTATTTTTTATTTTATTTATTTATTTTTTTGTGGAACTGGGGATTGAACTCAGGCCCTTGCGCTTACCAGGGAAGCGCTTATTCCACTGAGCCATCTCCCCGGCCCCTGGAAAGGTTTATTTAGCGCACAGTTACTGGAGATTTCAGTCCATACTCAGCTGGCTCCAAGGCAGAGTGGCACATGGCAGAGGGCAACCTTCCATGGTGGCAGCGAATAGCTAAGGGCCACACGGGAGAAGTAGCAGCAATAGCTACAGAGCAGAAGTCTGTCTCTCTGTCTCTCTTATGTTACATTCCGGTTCTCTGGCCCTGGCTGGGGGAAGTAAACACATCCATAATCCTAGCATTACTAAGACCCATAATCCCAGCTGTGGATTATGACCCATAATTCCAGTGGATCATGAGTTAATCTCAAACTCTAGAAGTCCCCACCCTATGACTGCATGAGGCTTTGGGGGGACAACTAGACACAAACCATAACAGATGTCCAGCCCAGTAACACACAGGCCCAACATATGACAGGGTAGGAATGGGTGCTGAAGAATTTTATTGGGTTGGGATGGGTGAGAACATAGAGAGTCTCACTTGTTCTGAGTATCTGAGAGAGAAAAGACCCTAAGCTCTTCCTCCCAAGATAGAGGTCTGGGTAACTGTTTTATTCTTCTACCAGCTGGTGGGAGACAGTGACTCTCTTCTGGGGCTAACGGCAGATCTTCTTCCTGACAGATGGCGTTCTCCTTGTATGTCATCAGCCACGTGGGCATGATCATCTCCCTGGTGTGCCTCCTCATGGCCATTGCCACCTTCCTACTGTGCCGCGCCATTCGCAACCACAACACCTACCTCCACCTGCACCTGTGTGTGTGCCTCTTCTTGGCCAAGTTCCTCTTCCTCACCGGTATAGACAAGACCAACAACCAGGTCCGCTTCCCTCAGGCCATGTCCCCATAACCTCCTTATCTCTGCTCATCCCTGCCCTACACTTGGTCTGGGCCTTTGCGTACACTGTTCCCTCAAGCATCACACACCTGCCCTCTCCACTGGAGGACTTGTGGTAGGTGCCGGCGGAAAATCATGTCTCTGAGCACATAATGAGTTCTGTTCCCTTCAGTTGCACCTTATTCATTGATTCTGTCCCCCAGGGTGGCATCACCCATTGAGATACATGACAGTGACCACAGACATTTGTGTTTATGATGCTACTGACATCAAGTGGATGGAGATCGGGGATGCCGCTAAGCACCCACGATGCACAGGATGCCCCCAGGCCCCCAAGAGAGGAACGATGCAAGCCATGTTGCGAACCTGAGTGGTGCTATGGCTGAGAATCTCAACTCCTCACCATGGCTATATTCTGCTATTCCCAGGAGTCATTTCAAACCATGGTGATTGTGGGTTATGCCATGTATCTCATATCTATCTCCTTCCCTGGACTGAGAGTCCCGTGAAGTCAGGAACCTTGGCTACATGCCTGACACCACGTAGGCCCTCAGGCTTCCTCCCAAGGAGTCTGACCACACTGGGGTGAGATGGTCGTTCTTCGCGCATTCTTTGTTCCATTCTCTCTGGACAGTGTTTAGCTTCCCGGCCTCTTGCATGTTAAGACTTTAGGACCTACTTCATCATGTGTACCGCAGCTGGGCACACTACCTCTCAGAGTCAGTAAATATTTTCTGCTTGTGAACAGCACAGCTTGTCATGATTCCTCCACTCTGGCAATGTGCGGTGAAAGCTGTCACTGATGATGCCTAAGTGGGCGTGGCCCGTGCGTTACTGGGCCAGACAGCCGTGATGGTTTGTGTCTAGTTGTCCCCCCAAAGCCTCATGCAGTCATAGGGTGGGGACTTCTAGAGTTTGAGATTAACTCATGATGCACTGGAATTATGGGTGATCCATGGCTGGGATTATGGGTCTTAGTACTGCTGTACATACATCCATAAAACTTTATGTATGAAACAAGCAGTCAGCCCAGGGGTTCGCTGAACCCCACCCCATCCTCCCACATCTTCAGACAGTATGTGTGTGTATGTGTGTGTGTGTTTGTGTGTGTGTGGCCGTCTCAGCCAACCCAAGGGGCAGGGCTGGCACGGCATGTGGTTCTGGGTCCCTGTGCTTGCCTAAGCTTGCCTAAGCAGGAGCTTTAGACAGCTGAGCTATCTTGCTGGCTCCCTAAGACAGTTTTTAATGTACCTGGCTTTGCCAAAACCTTTATGCTCATACATCCTGGGAAATCTCAGCTGCAGACAAAGGGGATAAAGAGGACCCTTACAGTGGGAGTCCTGCTTGGGATCTAGAAACATGTGTGGATGGAATGAGTGGATGTCATTGGGGGAACCCCTGTCAAAATGCTCGCCCTCGGGCCAGCCAGATAGCTCAGTGGATTAAAGTGCCTGCTTAGGCAGATGCAGTGACCAGTGTTCAATCCCCAGAGTGCCGACGCTGGCCCTGCCCCCAGGGCATGCTGAGATGGCGACTGAGACTGGGCATGGTGTCACATGCCTATAATCGCAGTACTTGGGAGGTTGAAAAAAGGAGAATCACTACGAGTCTGATCTGTGTAGTGAGACCCTGAACAACCTGTACTAAACACAAAAAAAAAAAAAAAAAAAAAAAAAAAAAAAAAAAAAACCCTCATCCTGTACAATTTCTCTCAATCCACTCCTTGAATGGCAGCCCCAACACGTGTGCCTCTCCTCTGCAGACGGGCTGTGCCATCATCGCGGGGCTCCTGCACTACCTTTTCCTCGCTTGCTTCTTCTGGATGCTGGTGGAAGCGGTGATGCTGTTCCTGATGGTCAGGAACCTGAAGGTGGTGAATTACTTCAGCTCCCGCAACATCAAGATGCGGCACCTCTGTGCCTTTGGCTATGGGCTCCCGGCGCTGCTGGTGACTATCTCAGCAAGCGTGCAGCCCCAGGGCTACGGCATGCATGACCGGTGAGTGACACCCCCCCTCCCTGGAGACCTGCTGCTGGGGCTCATGATCCTGCTCGTGTGTACAGGGAAAGCAATAACCACAGCGCTCAAACTGTTGGTTGCAGAGCCACCATGAACCGTCACTTGGGTGGCACAACGTGCATCCCCATGAGTCCTTGCTATTTGAGATTCATTCCAGGCAGATCTCATGAATGGCCTAACTTGGTTTTGTGCCTTCTCACATGTGTGTGTATTCCAATTGCTAAAGGAACACAGGTGTGCTGTCGTTTCCACCGAAGTATGGCTTTTGTGTGGTCAAAGCTGCAAATGGGTACCACGTCTCCTTTATGTGTTCATCCATCCCTTGGTAAATAGGTATCGTGGCTATCGCTGATAATTTTCCTCTTGCGAATCGTGATGCCTTAAACATGGGCATGCACGCAAACACTGCAGTCAGATGACTTTCTCTCTTTCAGGAAGATATCCAGAAGGGGAGTAACTGGGCCAAATAGAATTTCTGTTCCTGGCTGTTTGAGGGGTCTCTGCATTGTTACCAACAATAGTAAACAAGACACCTGAGAGAAAGAGACGACCCTTTTTCTTTCCCATCATTATGGGCTGCTGGTCCCTGTGAGGCTTTGCCCTATTGCTTATTTATCACAGAGACAACCAGAACAGCCATGTGCCAAAATCTTTTTTTTTTTTTTTTTTCAGAACCAGGGATTGAACTCAGGCCCTTGCGTTTGCCAGGGAAGCGCTTATTCTACTGAGCCATCTCCCCAGCCATGTGCCAAATTCTGATAGTCTAGCACTAGCAAGGGAAGAAAACTTGCAAATACACAAATAACTGAACAAGATCATTTAAGATCTAGAAAGCTGCTATTTGATAATGCGGTGAAACACAGATGTAGTGTTTCACACCCCTGAAATTCCCGCATTCCAGAGGCTGAGGCAGGAGGATCACCACGGTTTCAAAATAACCAAAAATAACCAAAAATAACATTCAAAAATGCAGTGACCTCCGTGGGAGACATCCCAGCTGTTGTGATAGAATACTCGGCTGATGGTGGTGAGTGGCGGCTTGGTCGCTGCATCTGAGCTGAGGTTTGAATGACATAGTGTGTGAGTAGAGTTTTGCATAGAAGGAGAAGGGATTACAAAGGTTGTGAGCTGGCAAGGAGCTTGACCTCTGGCCCCAGGTGAACGTTTCAGGAACATCTGCCCTGACAGTGTGTCTGAAAGAGGACACATGCTTCAGACCGAAGTCAGCCTGATCCGTCATGAGAATTTCCGTCAGATCTCACCTCTCAGTACCACTCCCATTAGCACATTTATGGATACAAGACGAACAACAAGGCCAGGACTCTGAGGCACCGCTCACGCCGCTCCTTTCTCTCCACAGCTGCTGGCTGAATACAGAGACAGGGTTTATATGGAGCTTCCTGGGTCCAGTTTGCACAATCATCGTGGTAAGCATATTATTTTGTGAGATGTGTTTTTCAGAAAGAGAAAGGAGAGCCAGTTGATCAGGAAGTGCCAGCAAAGCCCACAGGAGAGAAATCCTTCCTTCCTCTCAAAAGTATTGTTTTGTGAGGGCTGGGGAGATGGCTCAGTAGAATAAAGGCTTCCCTGGCAAGCACAAGGGTCTGAGTTCAATCCCTGGTTTCACAAAAAAAAAAAAA